AGCCAAATTAGGCTACAGCTTGTGAGCCCATTAACGATCCAAATGGACTGTCTTTTGCAGCATTTTAGGCTTTTAGCCTTTTCTGCTGCTCGTGGATATAAATGTTTATACACTATAAAACGTAATTTAAACTGCAAAATTATTTCGACCAAAAAAAAACTGCAAAATTATCTAATTTACGCAAATTTTTTTTATATTAAATTTCTTTAAAAACCAATAAAAAGGTGTGACCAAAAAAAAAAACCAATAAAAAGGAAAACTTTTTAATTACCTAATTTTGTTCCGACGAGCACAATGGGGATGTTAGGCGCATAATGTTTTAGCTCCGGAAGCCACTATTAATCAACAAAATAATTGATCAATCTCGAATTTATTATTGTAGAAGTGTTTTCATCATAATCATTTCCTTTTGAAAACATCTGCAATTTTTAAAATTTTACCTTTTTGTGAATATTCTCGTAACTGGCCTTGCTAATTAGGGAAAATGCTAATAAGAACATATCTGCTCCTCTGTAACTCAAAGGCCTAAGTCTGTTATAATCTTCCTGCCCTGAGATTTCAACATTATAATTAATAAATGAATATTTATACAATATTTATACTAGTAGTATTTAGATTAATCAATTTATCAGTATTTAGATTAAAAAAAAGTACCGGCAGTATCCCAGAGGCCAAGGTTCACGGTACTTCCATCGACCACCACATTTGCACTGAAATTGTCGAAAACTGTCGGAACATAATCCTGCATTTATATAAAAACAATATAAAGTAATCAATATTTTTCTTTCAGTAAACAGATAGGACAATACAATAGTTAGTTTGGTTTCAGATTTAGGTCCAATATTAAATGAAAATATATAAGATTTCACCTTTACAATTTTTTAAGAAAAGAAATTGATCAAACAATAGGATGGTTTTTCTTTTTCTTTAAAAAAAAAAAACATTAGGATGGTGTTTTTAAAGCACGTAAACATAAACGCAAAAAAAAAAACCATCTAATACGGAAAATTTTTCCATTAACATGAATCAGAAACCAAGTGACGTCGAAATGGGTCTTAAAACCTAAACAAAATAATTTACTTACAAAAATCAAAATGACCAAAAATCCTCAAGAGACTAACATAAAACTCTTAAACACATCAATTTGAAACATTTCTAAATAGGAAAAAAAAAATTAGAAACGAACAATAAATTAATTACCGTAGGAAAAGTATTGCTGGTATATGAAATGAGCATACAAGTCTTTCCCACCGCTCCATCTCCGACAGTAACACACTTGATGAATCTAGCTGTGCTCATATTTTATTTTCTCCAAATATTCAATTTCTTTTCTTTTTCTGTTTATGAATTTGTGTATGTGTTTGGTTCTTATGTTTAGAAGAGAAGAGACCCAATCGAATGGTGGAGGGTTCTTAAGAAGCTTTTTGTGATGATTAGAATTGTTTATTGGTGAAGAGCATGATTCTGATTACAACAATTATT